TTTGATATATTTGATGGTTTAATTTTTGATATGATAACAAGCAGTGAAGTTGGTAATCCTATTAATGCAAAGGAATTCGTAGATATTGATGCAGATATCTCTTTTGAAATACTATTTGACAAAGATATAATTCATGCAATTAAAAGTAAAGATAATAAACCTCCTCACGAAGAAGTATTATAATGCCGTATTACTAATTCTAGTATATTATTAATATTAAATATTGTTTTATATAAACAATTTTATATGCTATATATATAAAAGAGACAATTTTTATACCGCACTCTGTGATGTTGCTGCATCCTTGCAGATCATAAAATTAGATGTAACGTAAAATCAAAACAACCAGTTTTTTTTATTAGTTAAGGTTAGAGTGAGATAGGAGTAGTTTATAGGCTTGAAAAGAGGTTTTATAGTAAAATTTTAGAAGAAATTTTTTTGTTAGAACACAAAGAGTGGTTTCATATATGAAGTTTTGTGTTATAAACAATTTTTGACAAAGCGAATATTTGTTTTGAATTTTCTAATTATGCAATATTACACCTGATCTTAAAATTTGATTGGTCAATCATGTGAGAGGCAGTAAATTAGTGATATCGCAGGGTGCAGTGAATAAATATACTCTATATAAAAATATCTTTAATGAAATGTTAGATTTACTCACTATAATTCCGTTATATAGATATACCAGATATGCTCTATAACAGAAGTTTTTGCCTAGCTCAGATTTCTGTTATAGCTATAGTTGACAATAGATGCTTAAATACAAAGATAGTATAAAAAAAGAAAAATAAGTATTCAAGCTCAAGAATGCAAGTCTTATATGTATTATAGAATAAGTTTTCTAAATTTTTTATTATTAGTATTATTTAGTATTATTATTAATATTATTATTATATTATATTATATTTTATTGTTGTATTATTATATTATCGTATAATATTATTAAGTAGTTTCATATAATGTGATGAATAGCAAGAATGATTACTATTTCTACCATTTCTACCATTTCTACTATTTTTACCATTTCTAATATTTCTACCATTTCTATTATTTCTACTATTTCTACTATTTCTACTATTTTTACTGTTTTTATTATTTCTACTGTTTCTACTATTTCTTATTATTTGTATTAGTTTTATTAGTTTAGGAAAAAGATATATAAACCCTGGCT